GCTAAAGTTTCTGAAAATTCAAAGAAACTTTGTGATAATTCCTCTAATATTACTGTTGATCCTAATGGTACAATAAAAACTTCTGATCAATTTTCTGAAAACTCATCTGTTTTAAGCTCTGCTTTCAGAATCTGTATACTGGAAAGTCAGAAAGATAAATTTTTCAACTCAGATATATGGCCTCGTCAAGCTATTGTCAGAGACCGGGTTTTTTAAACCAAGGACAACAATTCTGTCAATCATGGCTGATCTAAATTTACTTAATAAAATATGTTGCCCAGTGTTTATTAACAGTTGCTACAATTTTAAGTTGGACACTTCAAAGGATGATTTATGCAATTTGTATGGAGATATTGATAACTCCTTCTTTCATTCATATATGCTAAAATAATGCTTGTGTGTTTTATATATGTACAGAGCTGAACATTTATATATCTATTATTTTGATTACTTCAGTATATGTATTCATATGTGCTTATGTGTTTATGTATGTACCAAGATGAACATTTATATATCTATTGCTTTTATTACATCAGTATATATTTTCATGCATACTTATGTGTTTATATATGTAGAAAAACGAAGATCCATATATCTATTACTTTTAGTACATCAGTGTATGTATTCAAACGTGATTTTGTTTTTAAATTGCATATCGTATCACGGAGGTCTGTACAAGTTTTGATTTTCTTATGGGATCTCCGTAAATCCTCACAATCTCAAATTTTCATTTTGTGTTTCGGATTTAAATAAATGAATTTTGAATTTTTTCATTTAATTAACCAATTTTTGGGGATTTGGGCTTATGGGTTGTACACTTGCGCTCATTAAATTTTTTTCTGTTATGTTATGTTATGTTATGTTATTTAATATTTATGAATATGTCATATGTTGGTCGTACCAATATAAGTATGTACTTATATATTGGTATGTTAATTTATGTTAAGTTGTAATTTGGTATGTATGTTAATTTGTATATACCTATGTGCGTATCCGTATATGTATATATATATATGATGATGATAACACTTGTGTTAAGTATCAAAGATAGATACACTTCACACATACGTTTTGTATAACACACATACGCACACACATTTACATACACATGTATGCATATATGGATGTGTATAAATTGAACTAACTTTCTTTATTCAAATCCACTGAAGTAATTTGTAGAAGCTGCTCGCTTGGCTTTATTAATGTTGACCCCAGAGAGACTCAGCTATGGTCCTAAATACTCATAAATACATAAAAACTAACACACGTACATATATGCGAACAAACAAAAAAACAAAATTGTTTAATCTGAAAATTTTTGAAAATTAAAAATTTAATTTTGCAGGCGGTTTTTTAAACAACGCACTTGAATCTGCATCCATGGCAAACCGCACAGACAAAATCCGCAAATCACAAAATCCGCAGAGTTTTAAGAATTTTTTATTTGGTAACTGTGGTTTGAAACCTCATTGTGGTTATCTGCTTGGAGCTCTGCTATACACACATCTATTATATTTATATATATATATTATATTATACATCTATTATAGTAACCCAACCAACAAAATGTCTCGCCCCCAACCCTAAAAGTTCTGGCAGGCCTGCTCACACAGAAAAAGTTTTATTTCACTAGCAACATCAATAAAAAATATTTTGACACTCTAATAATGTTCTGGAAAAGTTGAAAAATTAAGTTTACAAGCTTTCAAATGTTTACAAATAATAGATGCACTAGGTTTGCAGACATTAGGTTAATAGGGTGGAATTAAAAATGTAAACAGTTAAAGACAAAAAATGCAAAACGAACTAATATTAACTTACATTGAATTCATAGTTTTAAATAAAAAAATAAAAAAGATAAATGAAAACAGGTACACAAATTACAACCACATAAATGTATCATAAAATTAAATTTCAAAATTAATTTTTATACCAAAGCTAGCTCTGCAACTTCCTTCCAATCAGTTGGCAGGACAACACCTTTATTGAAATATTTAATCAGATATGGCTTACAGAACTCACTATTGGCAGAAAAAGCCAATAAAAAGTTTGATGTTGATCTGATGTACAAGCAGTGCCTACAATATAAAGCCATCTATTGAAATGTAAACATTCAAACATTAGTTGACATTTTTATGAATTTTTACCAAAAACATTTAAAAGATTATTTAAAATTTAAAATTTGACCTTCAGTATAAATTCAGGGTCTTCTGAAGCTATTTGAGTAGCCAATTTACTGATGTTTGAACCTTCTCCTTTCAAAAAAGTTGGTGACTTTATTAAGGAAGTGCTTACTTCATTGACCAACATTTTCTAGTTTTAAAATATATTTAAAACATATAAGTAAATATATATTTTATGCAAACATAAAAAAATGGAAAAAAGTGGTTAAGTTAAGAAACCAATTGGCAAATAATATTGAACTTCTTTATTTGGCCTATTGTTGCCTTTTTTGATCTCACACATTCTTCTAAAGTTGGTAAGTAATAATTTTTTTCTAAATATTAAAAGTACTTATCTTGTGTTTATGCAAGATGCATCACATTGTGTGCTTTTAAAGAACAGAACTATTGGCATTCCGTTAATTACCAATGTAGTTAAAAAACAAATAGTGTCATTACTACATTATCAATCAGTGATTAGACATTCTCTATCAGAATCGAATATTATAGGCTTTAAATTAAAAATAATAAAAATAGCAAACCTTGCGATCCAATAAGCTTTTTTCATGAGAAATGCATGATGATAGGTCTACAGGCATACAGAATGTAAAATCTAATGGCCTTGGAACAGATAAGGAACAGAAAACATTTTCATAATCATAATCGGAAAAAACACTTTCTTTTACATCATGTTCACAATTTTTAGTCAGCTTATATTTCACTTCAATTTTATCTGTGTTGTCCTTGTGCTTTCTTTTCAAGTGATTTTTAGTTTTTTCAGTTAAAACAATTTTTTTCTTAATTTTAGCAGTCGTTGCAGGCTTTGTGCTACATGAAGAAACATTCTGTAGTTTGAAGTGACTCCCAAAATTTACATCAAACGACAAAATAGTAGCGTGCGACTTATCCAAGATGCACTTGTGTTTTTTTTCTAAAAGTTCCAGATTTAAGGAAGGAGCACATCTTGCATCTAAACCACGGGAAGAATCCATGACCGAATATGAATTATTTTTAAAAGTTGCAGCATTTTTTAGAACTGACGCTTCAAGTCTAGAAGAATCAAGCTTTGTTAGATAATTTTCATTGGATTTAGCTAACATTTTAGCATACATTTTTCAACTCCAAGAAGAAAGACAACGCACGACGTACTTGATACGTCGTAACGTCGTACTGAATACAGTTTGCGGATATGACAAGCGAGTAGTTGCACAACGATAAAAACGATTGCGCAACACAGACCGACCAGTCGTCATACTTTAAATTTTAATGCAAGTATTATAACATGTACCCTATAGTTACCGTTACTGATGTATATATAATGTATATATATAAATACATATATATACAATATACTATATAAATATATAATTTTATAAACATAAACTACCTTTAATTTTAATGCAAGTATTATAACATGTACCTTATAGTTACCGTTAGTGATGTATATATATATATACTTTTATAAACATAAACTATTTATATGCATACATATATAAATGCATATTCATAAATATGCAAATTCATAAATATGCAAAGCCAAAAATCAGTCAAGGATTTTTCCAGCATTATTTATTTTTAGTTTTTTTAAAAAAGTGTATGCCTGTAGTTAAAAGTCTTAGTAGTCTTAGAGTCTTACGTCACACAAGTTGTTTATCATGTTCTTACACCCGTAGATTTAATGATATTTTGTCTCTTTTTAACTTAACACAATATTGATCTTTTCCTACCCATACTTCTGGTAACACTATTGATTTTATTATAGCTTCATCTTTTTCTAAGCCTATTAATATCTCTGCTAGCTCTGTTCCTTATTCTGATCACCTCCTTATTGAATCTGTTTTTTCCTTAGATTTTCTTCCTTCAAATTCATCTATGTCTATTTCTAAAAGATGCTGGTCTTCTCTTAATAAAGATATTTTTCTTCAATCTCTTACTGACACTATTTTTGATACTACCTTATTTTCTGATGTTGATGATTTTGTCTATGCTTTTAATATCTACATTACTTCTATTCTAGATAAGCTTATACCTCTTAAATCTTTTACTTATAGGCTCTATTATCGTAAGGCTCCTTGGTTTGATTATGCTTGTGTAGTAGCCAAGAAATAACATCTGCTTCAACATCTAAAAATAGGTGGTCTGCTCTATCTAAACTTCTTCATAAGAAATCTTCTCACTCATCTTTTTCTGCTCAACAGTTTCATGACTTTTTTGTAAATAAAATTACTTCTTTAAGAACATCTAATTCTAATTTTTCTTCTCATAA